AAAGAGAGAGAAAGAATGAGAATGAGAGATAGAGAGGGAGGGAGGGGGGGGGGGAGAGAGAGAGAGAGAGAGAGAGAATGATTCAATCTTGGCTCAGGTCATCCTTCCGTGAAGAAGGAGGGCCAGGTGTGGAGAGGCACTGCAGTCACACAAGCTAATGAAACCAGAGCAACTGCCAGCTGAGGTCTCTTGTGGGTATGTGCACAGATTCCTCAAATTCTGTCAGCATCTATATAACTAGGCACTGACCCCAGATGTCTGTCAAGGGGCAGGAAGGCATAATGCCTGAAGAGCTTTACATCGAGCTCTGCTGATTGAGTCATTGTCCTTCACGTTTTGTCCTGAAGGATGACGAGAAGGAGATCTCTGACACGCCTGTCGCTGCTCAGGGCAACCGAGAGCTTGTAGCCGTGCAACATCCGCAGCACCCCCTCACGCTCCTTCCCACCGGAAGCTACGAAGATGATCCTCAGGCCATTCTGGATGACCACCTGTCCCGTGTGCTTAAGACTCCCGGGTGTCAGTCTCCCGGCATGGGACGGCATAGTCCTCGCGCTCGTTCCCCCGACCGACTCCCGGGGGGCAAGTTCCTCCTAGCCGCCCCGGGCAAGACCACCGTGCCCGCGGCTTGCGCTCTTCTCAGCAAAGGATTTGTCACCAAGCAGACCACCAAGCATGTTCACCATCACTACATCCACCACCACACCATCCCCAAAACGAAAGAGCAGATAGAAGCTGAGGCAGCCCAGCGGGTCCAATGCTTGTGTAGTGGGGGCAGCGATTATTACTGCTATCCAAAATGTAGAGGACACGCGAAGGGGGCGGACCTTCCTGTTGCTCAGCTGGAGCCATTTGGGTGAGTTTCCTCTTGGGGGAAAAGTTCTAATGGCTGGGGGTGGCTGGGATTGGTCCATACTTGCCGAATTGTGCCTGTTTGTCTAGGAGTTGGTGCGATGAGGAGAGAGGGGAGATAGGACCAGGGAGGAGAAGCCTGTCCAATAGGGGCATGAGGTTTTAGCAGAACTCTTGCTGTGTAGTGACCAGCCACCAGAGACTAAGTGTTGCTCTTATCTCTCTCTCTGGTGGAAGCCTCAGCAGAACTGGGACCCTTCCCAAAAGGAACTGTAAGCTCCAGGATGGCCTCGTCCTGCCAGGTGGAGAAGGAGGTGGTCTCCCTGCCCCACCAGGCATACCGCTACCCAGTGGGGAAGCCGATCGCTCCCAGAACGTCTGGCAGTGGATGTTGGAGAGTGAAAGACAATCTAAGCACAAGCCCCATAGGTAAATATCAGCTGTCTGCAACACTCTTGCTCCTGGTAAATATTTATCTATTACACAGCTGTCTATTTTTACAATCCCTAAAAAACAAATGAAGCTCTTTTGCTCCTCTGGTTTAATATGAAAGCTGTTCCACGGAACCAGAAAAACCACAAAAATGTCATGTTTTTGGCAAAAAGAAAACCCTTTTCATGTTATGACAGACTTTTTTTTCCTCTCTCTCTCTTTTTTCTCTTTCTTCTCATCGAGAGTGCACAGAACAGAAGCTGCTATGAAAGGCCCGTATTTCAGCTTTTATAACCTTGCCCCTTTGGTCCCTTGTCTTTTTCCAGCATGCAAAGCACGAAGAAGGCCTACAATTCTGACTCCACCAGAGGTGCATCTGGGGAGCGTCCGGCCCGCCACCACCAATGGGGCAACAGCAGCCATCCACGGGCTGTGCAGCCTGCCCACCCCTTTGTCCAGGATCCCGCCATGCCTCCACTGACTCCACCCAACACACTGGCCCAACTGGAGGAAGCTTGCCGCAGGCTAGCCGAGGTGTCCAAGCCACAGAAACAACGGTAACGTCTCACAGATTGGGGTGTCAAAGCAGAAGCTCTTCCTCCACCCGGGGCTGCTGGGTTGATGTCTTCTAAAAGCAATCCAGTCCCTGCTGAAGACAGGCTAGGCTGAATATTCTGGAATAGGCCAGAAAAAAAACAGATTGCCTAACAAAAGCATCTGCAAACAGAATCTTTTCAAATTATTGTGTTGCAAAATGTAGTGTGTAATGGTGATCAGCTAGAACAATGGCAAATAGGAGGTCAGATTCATAAAGCCCCTTTTTCCTTAGGAGAGATTTAAATTTGTTTATGGTCGTTTGTGTATTGGTTAAAGGGCTTTTTAAGCCACTCCGTTCAAACTGACTCTGAGTAACATACAATTCTCCAAATCTGTGACTTGGTTTAAGTAGACAAGTAGGCTAATTAAGCTGAAACTGGCTTCATTTTATGAGTTAGTTTTTGGTTGGTTCAAGCATGGGCTTATTTATTTATGAAGTTGATATGTTGCCATGTCACGATCAAATTATTCTTAGGTTTTGGAACAGTCTCAGTCTTATCATTCAGGATGCACCCTATAAATTGTAATCTCTCTAGTCAAAGCAATTCGAATCTTCCAATTTAACGTGGTTTGTTCTGTTTCCTCAATGGACGCTTCTGAAACAGAAACCAGTTAAGTGGTGGGACAAGCTTTAGCCTGTCTTTGGATGGTGCTGAGATACTTTAGGCTTTAGTATGTGCAATATTTCCTTGCTCGTTTCAGCACATCGGTCTTGAGTGCCTAAGTGGGATTTGGAGAAGGTATTAATGGTATTCCTGTATCTCTTCCCCTTCCTCTCCCTTTTCCCAATCCTTCAGATGTTCAACTTCGAATCAGCTTAGAGATCGAAACCACTTGGCTTCGGTACCTGGCGGGAACGGCCCTTTCTGTACCACAAACATGGCATCAGAAGAGTGAGTGCAATATAAACAGTAGAAATCTGCTGGTTCCTTTTTTTCCCCCCAAACCCAAATGTATTGCTTTGGAAGTGGAGAATTTACAAGGGAGTTTGGATTCTTTATTTTTAAAGGCCTATAGCAAACACTAAACATTTTCAAACCTCGGTTCTCTTAATTCTCCCCTTCTTTTTGTTTGCATTCCAGTTAAATGGACAAAGATTGGTGGATTAGTCTAATTATAGGATAGTTCTTCTATGACAAGGAATCTGCTAGAGTCTAAATAATTAAAGTTTTCTTTCTTAGATGCTGCATCTTAAGCAATGAGTAATGTTTGAAGTCCAAGCTTAGCCACATGACTATCCCTTTTCATTTTTAATTGGCTGACCTTAAGCCAGCTGTCTATGCTGGTGCTTTTTTTTTTTCTTGCTTCCTGAAACCACTCTACAAAGACTTGGAACAAATTAGGAAGAGAAAAATTATGGCAGAGTAGCCTTTGGTGACCTTTAGACGTGCCAAGTCTGGCTTGTCTCAGAGACTGCCTTGTCTGCATGCCACTGAAGACTCTTATTTCTGCAACAAGTTCTGTCTTCTCAAGGTTCCCAAGGTGGAACCAGAACTTGGCTTTCTCTTCCCTTTGACAGTGGTGTCAAAGTATCAAAACAGACGTGGCATGTCTTCGTTTCTCCCCCCCCCCCCAGGTCCGAGATACAAAAACAGTGGCAGCTTTTGATGTGCTGTTCCACCACAAGTTGAGGCTTTCTAATTTTAGTTCAGTGTAAAGGGATGCATATATAGAATGTATATATGCCAATTCCTTGGCATTGTAGGTGAATTGGACGATCTGAAAGGCCAGGGTATGGAGAAAAAGTATCTATGCTGTCACTAGGAGTTGAGAATGGGTTGATGGCACATACATATGTGCAAATTAGAGTACTTTCAAAGTTTGGGTTATGGACCTTAGGCTTCCCCTGTCCTGTGAAATAGACATTGTAAATTATTGTGGAAGCTCAGATATAGATTCTACAGTGTCATCAAAAAAAATTAAGTAGCGGTGAAATGTCCGTATGGGCCATCCATTAAACAAAGAACTGCTTTCCTGTTCCATCCTGGAACTTTAGACAATGTTGGTCCTTTCATTTCTTCCCTTTACTGCTGTCTTTGTGTACACACACACACACACAAAACCTGTGGAGAACAGGAGATAAGCAAATCAATGGAGTAAATCTGAGGAACCTATGGGCACCTCTACTTACTTCCAGGCACTAATGGTCAGCGATAATGAGAATGAAGTACTTTAAAGAATCTGAAGATGACTCAATCACAATTTTAATTAGGCAGCCTGCACACCACGAGTACCCAAAAGCTCTGGAGAACAGCTGAATTGTATGAAGTTTTCCAAAGGGTATAAGGTTGGGGTATGTTCTATACACAGGGAACTGGGGTGTTTTTTAGGCCATGGGAATCGCCACTGAGAAAGCCCATTGCTGAGCCCCTACCTCACGTGGGATAGGGACCCTTGGCAAGTCACGTCCTTACTACAGGAATGCACAGGAGGAGGGATATCCCTGTAGGTCCCTTGGAATAGAAAGCAGATCAGCAGCCAGTGTGGCACCTGCAGGATTGAGGTTATCATGACCATATTGATGGTTAGCAGATAGGCTGCTGGACTTTGGGACAACTGTAGCATCCAAGCCTGAGATATCTTCAGAGGCAGACAAATCAGAGATTGGTCATGGTCCAATAAGCCATGATTATTTTGTATCTCTGCAAGACTTATTCTGGTTTGTTTGAGCTTATTCAAGCCATAGCTTAAGAAAATCCTAATATGATGTGATTTTTTTTTTACTCTGAAGTCTCAATGGAACACTTCTTTTAGCAATATTTGTTCTCTGAATCCACATGTAAAAGTTTCAGTGACTGAGAACTATTGTGCCAGTTGGTTTCAGATATTGTACAAAGTTATTATTTACTTGGTATTTAGTTAGTTCAATTCCAGTCATTGTGGATTATAAATCCCTCTTTCACAGCCTAGCCTGGAGTGGGAACCCAGATATGTATAAATTAATCCAAAAACTACAGAAAACAAGCCTTGGCTTGGTGTGATGTATGAATTCATTCAGCCTCAGGATTTGTCATTGGTCTTTTAAAGAACCAACCACAATCTTTTTTTCTATCAAGGACCACTTGGTCCTGAGGTTGATATTCAGCAATCAGTGAATGGTCCTACCAATTCTATTATGTTTCAGGATTCTTTTATTGGATGTTTGTTGGCTCCTTCTTCAGAACCCCTGTTCCTTTCTCTTTTTGACATCTCTTATTTAACATCCCCATCATCCTGGTACCTTCAGTGTCACTTGAAAAGGTCTTTTAGTCTAAGGATTGTTGGCAGACTCAGGAGTGCAATTTGTCCTCCACTTTCTCTACTTAACTGTAGCAACATGAAATTAGTGATCCAAGGATGGGGAAACCAACCGGAGTATTCAACCAGTTGAACAGAACAAATCCGTTTTTTAAAATGGGGCCATGGCTGAAGCAGTGCTGGTGTTATTGTATTATTGTACAACACTTGAACTGCTCCAGAGTTCAGTTCACAAAGGGTTCACCTCATGTGTCTCCTGATGTAGCTGAAAGTTCTTTCTCAGGAAAGTTGCCAGAGGGTCTGAGCAATCTGCCCAAATTCATCCAATAATTGAGGGTTGGGATAATCCTACAGCTGCAGACTCATGTCCCCTTCATCTGGACATGAAAACAATGTAGGATTGCTTTGTTGAATCTTCAAGGGTTGCAGACATCATTGCCCTGTTAAGCAAATCCCTTTCCAAAATATTTAGACTTCAAATATGTACAATAACTAGTTGGCCAGTCGTAGTAAGCTGATAATTAAAGACTGTATATCTTCATTGAAAAGTTTGCACAATACATGCCTTGGTCTTTGTTTTTAACCCTTTTTCCACAGTCAAAATTCCCATATTTTTTTTTTAAAAATGATCCAGCGGCAATGCTTGTCAACTTAGTGGGCCATGAGTTGGAATCGCCTTCCAAATTGAGGGGGCTAGTTATTAACAACAAGGGCGGTTGAAGTCCACAAGATCAGACAGCAGGAATGGGGAAGGCTACCACAAATTCTTCAGTATTTAATACACAAATAAGTCTCCAGCTTTGCTTTCCTCAGTTTTTCAGTTACTTGATGTGGTTAGTTGACTCTCTACGCCTTTGTGTAGTTGTGCCTCTGAGTGTGACATAAATGCTTTGTAAATGTTGTGAAACCATACTTATTTTCTCTCCTCCCTCCTTTATGTTTCAGTCACAAAGAACCAAAGAAACTCCCTGTTGTTCACTCCTCCCAGCCTAGTGAGTTGGTTGTCACTTATTTTTTCTGTGGAGAAGAAATTCCCTACAGGAGGCTGTTAAAGGCCCCGAGCCTGACACTTGGGCACTTTAAAGAGCAGCTGAGCAAAAAGGGAAATTATAGGTAAGCATCTTTGTGGTTTCTTTCTTCTTTTTCTTGTGTTTGCACAGACTGACTGCCAAAATAACCACGATGTATTTGTAAGCAGCCTCCCACAAGGAAAGGTTTATTGTTCTCTTTTGAAGGTTGGCTGCAACTCGTTCAGTAGATGAAGTTTTTCTGACTTCTTTATGTTTACCCACCCAGCAATAGTACTCAGCAGGTGGGTCGGTTGCTCCAGCAACCGAACTGAGCTCTCATCTGGTGAGTAGATGTGAGATTGTCGGGCTGGCTTGCCTTTTTGCAAGTTGACAAGTCCACAGACTTGCATAATAGGTATCTCTTCAAAGTTCCTATTTCCTTTCTGTGACTATACACGACTGCTTTAGAAGTTTCCTTTCTTTCATCAGTTTGGCTGCACTTTACCTGATTATTCTGATTTCGCCATTTGGGCCCTAAAAAAATAAAAATAAAAAGGAACAGTCATCGACTATGGAGAAGTTACTAATGGAAGTCAGATTGTTGGGACCTGCATCTGACAGCTATAAATGAGTATATATATTCCTGCATCTTGTTTATAAGGAGAAGGGTTTCTAAATGTGTTTTCTCCCCTTTGGTATTGGTTGATTTAGCTTTGTACAAAACAGTCAAGTATTACCAAAGTCCCAATTGGTTATGCAAAATATTGTAACCTAATCTGTGAATGTCAAAGGCTAACTGACTTTGACTATTGTACTTAGTGAAGTATTTGTTCAAATGCCATCTGTTAGGAAAGAGTTGGGGCTTTTTCTAAGGGTAGATATTCCAATATGTTCTACAAAATTAGAGTGTATTATCTTGTGAAGTCCTGAGGGCAGATTTACCTAGCAGATAACATCAGCAGGACCTTTTGATCTCTATACCTGTCTATTTTCTTACCCATCTATCAGTCTACTTCCTTATTTTAGGTTGACTTTTAAAGTCCTCCTAGGGCTTATGACCTGTCTTAGGACTTCCTATATAATTATGCAGAGAATCAACTTGTCCCATCTCCCTGTTACTGAAGCATACACATTAAGCAAGAGTTATTATCTCTTGTGATGGTAGAGAACATTTTGAGGAATGCTTTATTGGAACAGGTGAGGCATCATTTCACAATATGACCCATCTAACTCAAAAGTTTAACAACATGGCAGCTGCAGTTACTATCTTCCATTATCACCCTGAAGGAACAATCTGCAATCTTCCCATTTTTATGTCATTCCAGTCAAAGTTTATAGGTTTTGTGAAAAAGAACCAGTTAGAAGCATTGGAATAAAAGCTTGAACTTATTTAGTCTATAGTTGATTGAGCTCATAAACTACCCCAAGGATTACTGCTAGACTCACGCTGACATTGGAAACAAAGCTTCCAAATAGTCACACATCTTCTTTGGAAGATCTACTCTTTTAAAAGAATTTTAAAAAAAATTCTAAATAAGAAAATTTATTTTCTAAAGTCAGGGACTGGACAGACATCAAAGTCCTCTCTACTGGCGGAGACTTCAGTTTCTCTGTCCTTGTAGGAGGAGAGCGGATGGAGATTTGAGAAAGAACCTCTGTATTTTTGGAACTTGCTCTCCAAAGTGACTTGCTTGTCCTTGGCTGTTTTGGCACCAGCTTTTTCATCTGCCTACATTTTTGGACACCTTTTTTGTGATGGGTTAGCTGACATTTACATAGATTTCCTCTGTTGCTGGTTATTATTTTATGACTACCTGCCTCTTTTAAGGATGCACCGTAAGGTACTAGCTGCCTAGCCCTGACCAAAACTAGAATATAAATGCTTGAAATACCTAAAGCCCATCTTTACAGATCAAGTATCTTCATTTGTTACCAGAATTGTATGTTGGCTGATAGGAACTCCTTATGGTTTGTACTTTGTAGGAAGCAATGCTAGTGTGGAAACTCCACCAGGGAGTTTCCCCTTCCTTTCCTGATCCTAGCCTCAAATGAAGGGTTCCCTGATTTAATTAACTAGAACCAAACTATATGGATGGTATTGAGTGAATGGAGGTTAAAGGCATCGAGAAGGACTTGCGTGGTTAAAACTCTTTATTGTCTAACTTCCCACTGGAATAATATGGAGTCTCAGAATCTTATTTTAGATTGGTGATGACAGCTTACTCCAGAGCCTTAGATGGAATTTCTAAAGATGTAATGTACTTTAATTCTAGCTAAGTCTAAAGCTGGATATATAGATTTTATATATATATTGTTCTGAATTTTGTATTCACACTGAAGAGCCCTGCCTCATAAGCTAAAGATGTGGTTTAACCCATCTTCAGCTTGTTGGCAGTACAGATAGGCCTCAATGTAGGGGATACTACAATGGTCGTATGTGTGGGGAAAAGTCATAAGTTACTTTCTTTCAGTGTTGTTGTCACTTCAGTCACTAAATGAAAGGTTGTAAGTTTATCTTTAATAAGAGGGGGGTGGGCTAGTCTGAGGGATAGAGATTTGCTTACCCTTGTGATAACCACCCTGTTAGTGTAGATATGAAGATTGAATATCCTCCCAGGATGGCCTTCTAGATATAATTACACCAGCTCCCATTTTCCTTAAAATTGGCCATTCTGGCTGAATCTGGGGTGAGTCCCATTCAAACCCCACATGGAAGGCCACGGTTCCAAATCCTACTGCATAGATCCTGTACTAAGTCTTCACGTGGTTTATGTTACGTATAGCATAAGATTAAACAGCTCAGAGGTAACCACTTTCATAAAAATTACCCGTGGATAATATTTATTCAGAAGCCCCCAAACTTGTAGCCTAGCTTTCACTAGGAAACATCACCGTGACAGCTTTATAGGAGCTCATCTGTAAGGATAGTACAGGCTTGGCCACTTTTTTTTTTTAAAAAAATTCAGCTGGCACATTATGAGTAATGGAATTCCCATATGTTCATCATGTCTGTGTGGGCCAAGATTTTTGGCCCTGTGGCTACTAAATGTTTATCGCTTCCATCTTTGAAAAGTTTATTGCTTCCATCTTGGCCCACTGGATGGGATTTTTTAAAAAAATCTTTTCCCTAAAGAGACAGGCCCCTCTGAAGTTAACAGTCCTAACCATAGTGCTGCGTACAGTGGAACCTCTGGTCACGAACGCTTCAGACCACGACCAAATCGGGTTCCAACCAAAAAAACACAACATTTTGAATTCGGGTCACGTTTCAAAAATCGGGTGGCGATCAAACATGACTGCGGCCGATTCCCTTTCCACGGCGATTCCCCCTTCTGCGCCATTGTTTTTGTAGGCACATGCGCAGTCAGCCTTGCTTCTGATCACGACCAAATCAGGTTGTGACCGAAGTTACGGAATGAATTACGGTCATGACCGGAGGTTCCACTGTAAAGCGGCAGGCTGGGAAGTCCTTGTTTTTAGATAACACCAGGAAAAAGAAAAGTTAGGATCTCACGAAATGTGTTCCACCCACACTCAGAAACTAAACTCTCTGAGCATTGCAACTTGGCATGATATTGACTCAATTTTCAATCATTTGTTTAGTGACCAGAGTGAGAAAGGCACTGAAAAAAGTGACTTATGACCGTTTTTCACACTTATGACTGTTGCAACATCCCTCATGGTCATATGACCAAAATTTGGGCACTTGACAACCGGCATGTAATTATGATGGCTACAGTGTCCCGAGGTCATGTGATCGCCTTTTGCGACCTTCTGACAAGCAAAGTCAATGGGGAAGCCAGATTCACTTAACAACCGGGTTAATAATTGAAAAGGTCATACCATGGGGCAAAACTCACTTGTCTTGCTTAACAATGGAAATTTTGTGCTTAATTGTGGTCCTGTGTCGAGAACTATCCTATACATTAACAGGACTGGGATGAAGGTTTGTTTTTTTTGTTAATTTCATTTTATTACGCCTGTGTACAAAAGAAACATAGGCCCAAATCTGGTGTGTGTGTGTGTGTGTGTGTGTGTGTTTATCTTGCACAGACACAAGGTGAAACTAATTATCTAAATGTGTTGTACCCCCAGGGAATCATTTTGATCTAAGCTTTGATTCTCCACCACCCCCTTCCTCCTTTTGGCCGGACTTTGAGTGAAACTGCAGGTGACCTTCAGGGAAGAGGGCCATACTGCCCAGAATAGCAGTGATTGCTTAGGAAAGGACTAGCTACTCACTCTGGTCACATCTGGCATTGATTTTGTTCTAAGGCCCTCTTAATAAGCATGTCTTTGAAGCCTGTGCCTTTCATTTTAAGACACAAAGACAAGCATCAATGGCTGACACTCCACATTCTTGATTGAATGAGTCAGTTTGGAACCTAGGTGCCTCGGGTTTTTTTTTTTTTTTTGGTTGTTGTTGTTGTGTTGGGTGCTTTCAGTCAGCACAGAGTGCTCTGCGGAATGGATTTAGGACACCCACATGGCTTAAAGAGAAGGAGTAGAGTTTAGGTATGTCCCCTATTCTCTCTCTCTCACACACACACACAATTGAGTGGGGTAGGGTATCACAGCAAGAGCAAAGAGAGGAAGCCCAGCCTGTTAGATTGCCAGATACAGGAGAAAGAAGGCATGGGTGAGGGACGGGTAGGAGTTAGGACAGAGGGGGAAAAGAAGCAGAAGTTGCTGGAAAAGTGGCCTTTCATGAGAAGTCCACTTCAGGGAGCAAATCTGGACCTCCTGATGGGTTTTGAGAGATTGCGAGGGAGCGATCTTGGAGGGAAAGATATTCCTCCGTCTGGGTTCCCTCCCTCTCCCTTGTGCTCTCCCTCCTTTTGCCCCTTCTCTGTGAGAAATTAACTTGCAGTTATGGAAAACATCACACTGTGTCTTGTTCCCCCTTCTGCCCCCAAGAAAATAAAATGTGGTGTTCAAACAAAGAATTTTGTCAACGCTGCCAGGGCCTGAGATCAAGGGGGAAGTTATTGCTACAGCTGTTTATCCTCTTGGAAGGGAGGAGATAAAACTGAGCAAAAGTCCTTTTTGTGCCTCATTCAAAGGCTTTCCTCCCGCCCTCCCCTCCTCCCCCCCTTGCTGGCTTGGGGATTTCTAGAAGGAAGTCTCATTGTACTTCAGTTTGGGGTCAGGAAAGGGGTCTCTGCAGAGGGACAGTCCCGGATTAACTGAAATGAATGGATTTGGTTACATTCCTGGGGATCATCTGGAAGTAGCGAAAGGGGAGGAAAAAGGACTGTACAGTTTCCTCATTGAGTCAAAACGATCTTATGCTACAGAGAGTCCTCAACCACCCATTTTTGTGACTGTTCAAAGTTACAACAGCCATGAAAAAGGTGATTTGTGAACGTCCCAAAGGTGTTTTTTTTTTTTTTTCAAAAGGCAACTGGACTCTCTGGTTTTGCTTTGAAGACATTTCGCTTCTCATCCAAGAAGCTTTTTCAGCTCTGAAGAAGAACTGAACTCAGAGCTGAAGAAGCTTCTGGGATGAGAAGCGAAATATCTTCAAAGAAAAAACAAAACCAGAAAGTCCAGTTGCCTCTTGAAAAAAAGCACCTTTGGGACAACTATGACCTGGATGACGGAGAATCTCCATAGACATTGAGTGATTTATAAACGTATTTCACACTTTCTATCATGGCAGTATCTCCATGATTACAAGATCAAAATTTGAGTACTTGGCAACTGGCTTGTATTTATGAGGTTTGCAGTGTCTCGGGGGTCACGTGATCACTTTTTGTGACCTTCCGACAAGCAAAGTCCACGGGGAAGCCAGATTCACTCAACAGCTGGGCCACTGCAGTGATTCACTTAACAACCGGGACAAGAAAGGTTGTCAAATGGGGCAAAGCTCACTTCACGACTGCCTTGCTTAGCAACAGAAATGTTGGGCTCAGCTGTGGTCGCAACTTGAGGACTGCTTGCATCTTTGTAACCCAAACCTGATAAAGAAACCTCGGGTTGGCCCAGTCAGTGGTCTTCCCTCTCCGTCCAAAGTTCCTGAGTCCCACTGCAAAAGAAGGGACCTTCTTGAGCAAGAAGACATTCAAAATGTCCTCCTGGTCCTCTAGGATGGGACATTGAAAAGCAACAGCAGCCCATATCATAAAACTTTCCAATCTGTGGTAACGTTGATCGGTCCATCTACCCATTCTTGGAGAGCTCTTTGGGTTTGCTTGTGTCTGATCCCTTCCTTTTTGGTACCTACCTGGTGAGAAAGCTCCCTTGCTGAGGATGGGGAGGATGACAGCTCAGGGAAGACAGGCGTCAGCCCAGCCTGGGAGCACTGAAGGCCATGTGTCTGCCTGTGTATGTGGTAGTAGACAAGCAGGCTCCCAAAATGCTAACTCTCTGAATGGAAGGCCTTCATTTGGTGCATATGCAATTAAGCAGCCTGAGAAGGAGGCAGTAAGTTGGACGGGAGGATAAAAGGAACCTTTAATCAAGAAGCTGAACGGTCTAATTCAGGATAATAGAGGGGTCCTTACTGTTTGACACAAGAGGGGAAGGGGTGCTTTTTTTGTCTGGGTGAGCCCTGGCTTTGTGATCTATGCTCCCAAGCCAAAGAAAGGGAGACACTGCTGCGTGACCTTTTGGTGTCAAATATGGCCCCGCCAAGCCAAGATTGGTCATTATGTAAGAGCTGCTAAGAAATATCAGAGGAGCATGAATGCGGTAAGCTTTCTGTGGCTTTGAAAGTGGGGATTCTGCATTGGTCTCTTCTTTCAGAAAGAGGCTTGGAACAGTTTCCCAAGAGCAACAAAAAGGAAATGAAAAGTATTTGCACTATAATGAAAAGCGTCTAAACGGCAGGAGCGATGCTCTAAGGAACAGATTCATAATTGGTTTTGTTTTAGATTTTTGTTTCTTTAAATCAAATGCTTGGCGAAGAAAAACTCTGCTCCTCCTGCCAATACCTATGAATGACTTCAAAGGGTGTCTCCCCCCTCTTTTCTTTTTTAATTTACTAATCCATTCAGAGTGCATCTCTCTCCCTCTCTCTTGCTCTCTCCTCCTCTCCCCTCCCCTCACCCTCTCTTTTCCAAGAACATTTTCTTAGCTGCTGTTCAATGCACTTATCCCTCCAGCATATTTCTTGGAGTCCAGGAGCTGGTTTGCTGCTGTAGGGAATTATTCTTGTGAGGGCTGCCCATTAAACAGAGGTGGACAAATGAAATTAGTCATACTTGATTTGCGGATGATAAATGGCAAGTCTGCAATTGATATTAATCAGAAAATTGAAGTCATTTCCTGGTGGAAGGGTTGATTGACTCTTTGAGAATCAAGGTCCTGATGAATAAGGTCCTGAGAATCAAGGACCTTGGAATAAAAAGAAAAGTGCTCTTTTATGTTAACTCACCCCATAAGCAGGGAAAGGGATCATTCGGATATTCCTGGACGACAACTCCCAGCAATCCTTTCTCTTGATCGCATGGGTTGCTGGCCTTTGTTGTTTCGGCAACATCTGGGAAGGTTCTGGCTTCTTTTTACTGTAGGGCTCCATAATTTGTGCCCTTCTGTTTACATTTCAGTATAGATGTATCCTAAATTAAGCCTTCTCCAACCTCCTGAGGTATAAAATTTAAATCCCAGATTGGATATTGTTGAAAAGTCTGGAGGTTGAGGCCCATAGATTTGGAGATGCCAAAATAAGAGAAGACTGTATTGGATCATTTGTTGCAGACTTTGAGTCTGAGAAGGGACAATAAACATGATGGTGTTGTTTTGAAAGATCAGGGTGTTTTAAAACCTGCAAAATGATAACTCTGCTTCAAGCTTTGTCAGCAGCTTCTGGGAGGGCTTGAGTGATTTGGTTGCAGGCTCACTGACAATTATGTGATCCATCGCTCTGCTATCCTCCTTGCCAATGTCTCCAACACACGGGGGTGACCAGCCATGCTCTGGGTCACAAGCTTTAATTTTGCTAGGTGCAAGACAAAGTAGACCATAAATCAGTGCCATAATCATTTTAGTGGATGAAATTTGGGTAATATGAACAGACATTTATTGTGTAGTTATCCACCATTGCCTCCAGAAGCTTTAAGCAGCATTAATGGTCCATGGACATTTGCAATGGCTTTGCATTACAATTAGCACAAGACTCATTGAGTACTCAAGAGAGACCTCCTGCTCACCATAATACAGGAGTGGGGCCATTAATTTTCCAAAGGGACCACATGAGAAACTGGGATTCTTGTATAGGGCCAAACCAAAAGGGCTGTGAAGATGCATAGGCACAAACACACGCACACAGTAAATTTTAAAAACCATCTTTAAAATAAAACCAATGTGGTTATATTGCATGCATGGCGTACACTTACTTCAGTGCTGGGATTCAAAACTTTTTACTACCAGTTCTATGGGTGTGGCTTGGTGGGCGTGGCAGGGGAAGGATACTGTAAAATCTCCATTCAGAGGTGGTATTTGCCGGTTCTCCAAACTACTCAAAATTTCCACTACCGGTTCTCCAGAACAGGTCAGAACCTGCTGAATACCACCTCTGACTTACTTGATTACTTATTTGATTTCTTATTTCTTATCAACCTCACGTGGCTGAACAGGGACAGTCAAAAGGTTGGATGTGGTCAGAGGGTTATAAAATGCCCAGGTCTGCTATAATGTATGCTTTTAAGGATTTTCCTTTTCTGTAAACTATATGCATAGTTAAATTGGTAACTAAGACATTACCGTTAGAAGTAATATGTATTTTAAATTTTTCGGTATCCAAAAGCAATCACAAGCAATTACTAAGATACTGTATCATCACCTCTATTGGTTCAAATTCCTTTGAATGTAGAAGACAAAAAAGTAATAGTTGATGATGGGTAACAGTTATTTATTTAGTTATTTATTTGATTCAATTTGGACACTGCATCTCAGCTGACTTTGGGCAGCTCAAAATATATTATCATAAAAATCCAATACAAACCAAAAGAAACCAAGATTCAATCACTTATATTCAGACAAATACAAACCTAACAATGGACTATATTCAAATGCCATTAAATACCACCTGTGTAGGAATTTGGAGGAATGTGTTTAATTGCTTTGATTTATCTGCCTGGTCTAACCACAGATACACAGGATACCAAATTAGATCATGGTTTTGCTTTTTGGTTCTTGGTTTGCTCTATCTGGAAATATATGAATTTGGAAGTTGGGAAGGAAACTGAATGCCTTTTTGGAATCCAGATATGGAATGTTGGATGTTTTTGCTGCAAATGAAAAATATATTTATTCCAAAATACACTCCACTTATTTTGCATATGTTGGTCTTACTGATTTCAGGTATTACTTCAAAAAAGCAAGTGATGAGTTTGACTGTGGGGCAGTCTTTGAAGAAATCTGGGACGATGATGCCATTCTGCCGATGTACGAAGGCAGAATTCTCGGAAAAGTTGAGAGAATTGATTGACTGGTTCAGATTGACTGGTTCTGAGTGGCATAGTCTATGTGAGCATATTTAAGAAGATATAAGCTATGGATGCTGGCCTTTGGATGTAAAACCACCAAGCAAAGTTTTTGAAGGAAAGTTGGAACCCATGAAGAAGCAACAAAAAAAATACACTGCGGTCTATGAAGACTTTGCCAAATCAGGCTTAGCAAAAAAAAAATAAGAAGAAAAATAAGATGTGTCTAGTGATCTGGATGCCAAGATGTTAACAACTTTGAACTATTTATTAAAAATATGGTCGCTCTAGGTGATTTGAAGATGCAGATGATGTTCTGAGAGACTTGCATATAGAAATATATGACTTCCTAACGATCCTGTACTTAATGATTTAGAAACTGTGTATAGCTTACCTTATAATAATCCTTATTGATATTTATTGAACATTCTAGGGGTTGTTTTTTTCCCTTTAAATCCATTTTATGGATATGCTGCTTTAAAAGACGGAGAAAAGAAGGGATGTGATGTAAAGAAAAAGGGGTGTTTTATATTTTATTTTTTACATTGTTTCCACGATCGAAATAAATGTGTCCTTTACTGAAATGTGCATTGGGTTCTGCCACCTTAAAACCAACTGGAATTGTGCGATCTTCAGTGGTTTTATTTCTCTGGAAAAGGCATGAGAAAGGAAAAGATAAATCCATTCTTCAAAGAAGAATATTTTGATCAACAATGCTCTAGTTTTTGTGCAGGGTAAACATTCCCAATTGCCTAAAACAATCTCTAGGACAGTGGTTCTCAACCTGTGGTCCACAGATCCCTGGAGGGCTTCGATGTTATCAAATGGGGACGGGGGGAGGAGGAGGAGGCAGGGAATCTGTGAAGGCTTGAAGAAATGTTATGATTTAAAACTTGAGTTTTAAAGTCTTGGTGCTCCATGGCTACAAAAGGGGTCCTTGGTGAAGAAAAGATTGAGAATCACTGCTCTAGGAAATCAGGAGCACTTCGTAGATCTTCACGCTCTTTCCCTCACGCTCTTTTCCCCGTTCCTATTTTGGATTTAATCATCCTGCAGAGTAAGCATTCCCTCCTCTGAGACGACCAAAATTTCCAAAATTCCAGAAGCCAACATAGCGAAAGAGCTGGTGGTTTGGAAACTCTAGAAACCGGAGTCCCAATGTAACTGGCGATCACCTGATTGGACAAATTTTGAATTCGAATACAGTTTGAAAGCTCACCATGGTTCTAACGGAATTTCAGAGGCACAATGGGAAAGGTACTGCTGCTTTTGGGATGAGTCCCCAAAAAGGAAAATGGGAAAACCGAATTCTGAAGGGTGGCATTAAAAGATAAAATAAAATAAATGTAAAAGATTGTGTGCAGGAGAAGGAGACAGACTGCAGGTGTTCAAAATACATCTGATTGCCTAACTACAAACTAGGCTGGAGAAATTGTACACAGTCCAATGCTAAGGGTGTTCTCTGTGTTAACTATAACAATAATAATTACAAACTGTAAGTAATAATAACAATGTTGGGGCCTTGTCAGTTGTTCTGGTATCAACAGGCACTGGCATAGCTTCCTTTTTTGATATTGTTTCTGATGCCTGCTTCAGAAAAGTAGTCTCTAAGAACTTCCAGATCAGAATTAGATGGGATGCAGATCCCAACCACGGAACGAGAAGACAGTATATGAAATCACCCACCTTACACCTTTATAGCTAACAGTAAGATAGTCACCCAATTTGGACTTTGCTTTTTTATGAAAACAACAAGAAGATTTACTCTTTCAGGGCACTTTCAGCATTACAGCTATAATTAAAAGGCCATACTGTGCAATGGGATGCCCCATCTTAACTGTAACCACCACTCCAGGCCATGGAAACTATGAATAGGTGTATTGTAGCAACTCTGAACAGCTTGAAGTTCCTGCAGGGTTAAAATATAATTTTGGATGCACCATCATTATGACGGTAGTTGTTCCCCAGAAATATTACAAAATCAATAAATTGGTGGGTGGTAACCATCCAGTTTTTATACTCTAGGATATCTCAGCCTCTTTCAGTTGCTTCCTGGACCATGAATGGTGGATGAGCTAGCTGGTTTCCGAGACTATGTCCGGAAGAGCTTTTCCAACTCAAGCTGCCACAGTATGTATGTGTTGCGTATGTGTGTGTTGGATGTTGGCTGCAATATGCAGAACAATTCTCCTCTGTCTTGATTGTATGCACTGGAACAAAGAAATGCCTCCTCCTAATTTAGAAATACATTTAACTTCAACTTTGTGTGTTTCTGTGTGTGTGCGTGCGTGCGTGTGTGTTTAATACGTGCATTTTCCAACAATGTTACATTTTGTTTGTACAATATGATGTATATAGTGTAAAAAATGGGATGGGGAAAATACTGTTAATAGATGCTCTCTAGTGTGTGTGTTTTTTAAGGAAAAAAAAACACTTCAATCAGTACAGTACCTGTGCCTGCATGGTATTAATATGCCGTGCTTTGCCCTGTGTTCAGGGTCCATGGTCTCCCTTCTTTGTTTAAGGGATTATGTATAATATATTCTATGCCTTTTTACTACAACTCTTGTACTTTATGACTTTTGCCATGATGTTTGTTCTACTTAAACTGTAAATTATGCATTATAAAGAGTTTCATTTAAAGAAAAAAAAATACTTGGTACAATAATTATTGTAATTAAGAGATGTAGCCTTTATTAAAAAAATTTATATTTTTCAAATTAATAAAACCTATTTGTCCTGATTTCTACTCAGTGTGTGAGGGGTGGGGAGGTAGAATTAAGACTCGCTTCAGATTCTAAAGAGACTTTTTTCTAGAAACTCCAATATCAACAAAAATGAAATCCTGTGAAGGTTGTAAATGAATGTATTAACTTTATAGACAGCTGGAAGCAGTTATCAGGGCGAAAATAAATGTACAAGTGCCTTAATGTGACTGAAATCATAGAGAAACAGATCATTTTGCCGGCTCATGCATTTAAGCTTGAAACCCAAGATGTTTAAAAATAGAGAATGATTTAAAAATCTTAAAGTAAGTCTTTAAGATATTTAAATTGACCTCTGTTCTTAAACATCTTGGGATAGTTAGGAATCAAATTATTCCCAGGAAACATTAGGTCTAAAGCTTCATGCAACCTATATATTCTAGATCTGAAGAGGATGATTAGGTACATTGATAGGATTTGCTATTTTCCTCAGTGATGATACGATTTTACCAATTGATTAGATAACTCTGCACAAATTAGCTCTGATTCTGGAAGCAGGACTTTGGATAAATGTTAGGGTCAGCCTGTAAATGCCTATAGGCAGATTTGATAGTCATTAGAGAAGGCTTGGTAAGCATATGTTGAGCATAATAGAAAGTTTGGCACAGCAAACCAGGTTACTCTGCCTTGGGTCCCCATTCCGTCCTTAAAACAAAACAAACCTCCCCAAAGGAAATTATCAAATATTCACAGGCCATTTTGTCCTCCTGATCCCAGTTCAGCTCTATAAACTTGAGGTCCTTGAAGCAGTATAAATAGGGTGCTGGTGGGGAACTGATGTGGCTTATGAGGCTATATGTCATTTCCCTATCCCACTTGTAAAACACTGCAGGGCTGCTGACTGATTTGATAAATGGAACTCATTTTGTTCCTAAGTTGCTAAAAAAAACAACCTTGTTTTGTTCCTAAGTTGAGAGTGACTGTCTGCTACTGTCCCCCTCAGCACACAATTCTGGGGAGATGGTGTCATAGGGTGACTACACCAGTCATGTACTTGAACGCTGGGCCTGAAGCAGGTTTGTGAGGCTAGCCTCCCAGCCTTTGTTAGCCCTTTCAACCTAAACCCTTTATTCAGTTCCCTTGCTGTTAATTTTGTGGCTCATCTGGGCCTGTCAGCTGGCGTTCCAACACGGCTTTGGCCATGTACTTGCCATCTGTCACTTAAGGCCGCTATCCCTGGGTGGTCAGCCTTGACAGTGCCAATCTAGACCATTTGTTTGATTCAGATGTGTGTCGCTTTGTGTGATTTCCCCAAGGAGGCCTTGGGCGCTTCCTTCCTCATCCATCTCCCAATTGCATGTATTATTTTCCACATGAGACACGGCTTCAGCCCTACCTTGAGGTAAAAAAAAAAACCATCACACTGAGCACCTAAGATGGAGACCCATGTTGTAAGTTAAAATAAAGCTGCAAATGGTTCCCCACATTTAAATAGATTGCTATCTTTATTAAACACTGTCTCAACTTAGTGGGGTCACCTTAATTGATGAGCCGGACATAACAGATGGATATGCAGACTTAAACCACATGGGTGAAGAAAGTAATTTTCGCCCCCCCCCCTCTATTCCACCATCAAAGGTTAGGAACTTACTCCTGCACAGTAGTATTTTCTTCTTCTGCTGCTATTAAAATGAAATCACACTGAGTTTAATTCTTCTTGGGAAGATGAATGCATTGGAGTCAGTTTGAAGTCATTCACTGGCATATAAGCTTTTGCATCTTTATATATCACTGCTTCCAAATACTTGCCTTCCCCCTTTTTGTCTTTCCCTTTTCTCTCCTTTCCTTTCTTTCTTTCCCCCAGGGGTCTGTAGAAACAAAAAATAAAATGTCTTCAAATACATAGCAGGCTGTTTAGTGGAGATGAAAGGGTGTTTGAATAGTCCTTTAAAAATGAATGGGAAGTGAACACTCTTATGTTTGGAGTATAAGTAGGATGTGATGAGCATTCAACATTACCTTAATCTGTTAGTTTCTGGTATATTTCATTCAATCTGCTATTTAAGAAGTGTGGAACCTCATCCTGCACTCTGGAGGTAGCAATACAATGCAACTGAACTAAAATGGTCTCATGCACTTTTCAATTATTGACGTATGTGGAATGGATGGGGAATTTCCAGGCTAGTTTGTGAAGCTTCCTGGCCTAATGGGAGAATCTTTTCCAATGTTTTAAAATGCTAAAGGATAAAACTTTGGTTTTCAAAATAATGGTCCTCCTGCTCCACTAGGGGAAAAAAAAGGAAGCAAAATATCAACCAAAAGAACATGGTGGATATTGAGGGAGATCTGAGTATTGGGTATTGAGGGAGCTTAATGAAAAAAAGGACTAGGAGTGACATGATAGCAGTATTGCTATATCTAAGGGGCTGCCAGAAACTTTTAGTACCAGCGTACATCTCTCTTAGGAGACGGGCTCTGCCTATAATAAAGACAGTGAAATCTTGGCCAGAAGATTATCCACTATTGACCTCACCCCATTCCTAAGAGGTCTGTAAGGGGCGTGCATATGTGCACCATCGTGCCTCCCGTTCCTGTCCTATTGTCCCCATTTATTCATACTTATTTCCTGTATTCTTACTCATGTTTATACTTATATCTATTATCTTACAAGCAACTGATAAATCAAATAAATAAATAAAATAAAAATAAATAAAATAAAATAATAAAATAAAATAAAATAAAATAAAATATAAAATAATAAAAAGATGCTCCCCAACAACTTCAGGATTGTTTTGAGAACACAAATTGGGACATCTTTTACCACCCTGACCTAGAGGAGCACACTGCAACTGTTCTGTGCTATATCAAACACTGCACAGATACTATCACTGTGGATAAACGTACTAGGATCTATCCCAATCAGAAACCCTGGATGACCAAGGAATTCCAGTGCCTCTTGCGTTACAGGACCAAGGCCTTTAGGTCCGGTGATGAGGCAAGATACAGTGTTGCCAGAGCTAATCTGAAGAAAGGTATTCGGAAGGCCAAGACTGATTATAAGAGGAAGATTGAGGATAATTTTTATAGCAATAACATGAGGCAGGTGTGGTGAGGGATTCAACAAATTACAAACCATCAACCGACCAATGTCATCCCTGGTGTGGGGGATGCTTCACTGGCCGAAGAACTGAATCATTTCTTTGCTTGCTTTGAAGTGGAGACATCAGAAACAACTAAAATACAACCACCAGCCAATTGTAGCCTCCACCTCATTGTGGAGGAACAGGAGGTGAGAAGCATTCTGTGGGCTGTGGACCCTAGAAAGGCTGCCGGTCCTGATGGTATCTCTGGCCGAGTGCTTAAAGACTGTGCTGATCAGTTGGCTGGAGTCTTTACCAGGATCTTCAATCGGTCTTTATCCCGGTCCACTATTCCATCTTGTTTGAAGGCTTCCACCATTGTTCCGCTGCCAAAGAAGTTCCCTATCAATAACCTCAACGATTACAGACCAGTGGCACTCACTCCTATCATCATGAAGTGCTTTGAGAAATTGGTCTGCCGGCACATCATTTCTGGTCTTCCGCATACATTTGGTAAACACCAATTTGCATACAGAAGAAATAGAGGACAGAGGACGCTATAGCCATCACTCTTCACACTGCTCTGACTCATCCAGAACAGCAGGGGGGCTGTGTGAGGGTGCCTTTTGTGGATTTTATTTCTGCGTTTAACACAATTCTTCCACATAGACTAGTGTCTAAACTTCTGAACCTTGGACTTTCTAATTCAATCTGCCTTTGGATTATGGATTTCCTGACTGGCCACTCACAGAGGGTCAGATTAGGTAATCATACCTCTTCAGCCCTTATTCTTAACACTGGTACACCACAGGGTTGCATGTTGAGTCCCTTACTCTATACTCTGTATGTGCATGACTGCATTCCCACTCACACTAGTAATACTATTGCTAAATTTGCAGATGATACAACAGTGATGGGACTCATCTCTTGGGGGGATGAGTCTGCCTACCGAGATGAGGTGGATAGGTTGCTTTTGTGATGTGGAGACAATAACTTGGTCCTCAACACCAATAAGACCAAGGAGCTTATTGTGGATTATAGAAGGAACAGATCAGACATCCAGCCCTTGCTTATCAATGGAGACCGAGTGGAGCAAGTGGCCAGTTTTAAGTTTCTGGGTATTACCCTAAAAGAGGACCTGACCTGGGATGCTCACATTGCAGCACTGGTCAAAAGGGCCCAGCAGAGATTATACTACCTGAGGCTTCTCAGAAAACAACAACTGAATGGAAAACTGCTGGTGACCTTCTACCGCTGCACCATTGAGAGCATTTTAACATACCGCACCTCTGTATGGTTTGCCAATTGCACAGTGGCAGATAGGAAAGCACTCCAGAGGGTTAACCTCATTGCCCAGAAGATCATTGGTTGCCCTCTCTCCTCTTTGGAAGAGCTTTATAGCTCCCGCTGCCTTAAGAACATTCAAAACATTCTCAAAGATCCATCTCATCCTGGGCACCCCCCTTTTTTTTAACTATTACCATCTGGCAGACAGTACAGGATGATAAAAACAAGGACAAATAGGCTGAAAAACAGCTTCTATCCCAGGGCAGTAGCTCTTTTGAATTCTGTTGTATAGTGCAGTATTGGTGTGTTGTCGGGGGGTTTTGGTTCAATGTGTGGCGAGTGAAGGAAGTGTGTTTGTG